AAAGAAAGCCTTAAAAATTCACACTTAACCTACCAGAAACAAATATCTTAAATATTTTACTACATCTTTCATATTATTAAAATTCATATCTTAGTAAATGCCTCTTTGTGGGATAAATTCTCAAGGTATTCGGAAATTTATCCTTAATAGTTTTCTAAAGTTAACTAAATAATTACCATTAAATCGGAAGTATATTTTAGACAATTATTGTTCACATTGTTATGAAAAGTCAAATAATGATACTCTTGTTTTTAGGAATTTTAACCAATCATTTCAAAAAATGCAGAATGGTCAGAAAACTCTGAAAATTGTGTATACCAATAATTAGCCCAAAAGACGTGCGATGCAACTTCGAGACGGGTTTATTTCAATTGTCTAGCTTGGATTACTTACTGCTTTAAAGTTTCACAAAAATCATAAGGTATGCCATAGGAGATATTTTGATGCAAAATGATCTGACATGCTTAGGCTTTTACTGGAAAGCGTATTTCTTGAATTTTTTCAATTGAATGACATTTATTATTATTATCATTTTATTTCTCTGACGTAGCTGAAATCAGTTAGCGGAAAATCTTATTAAAAAGATTCTGAGAGCGACTTGTAGGTATCGGCGAATTGTACTTTATTGGTTTCGTTTGGGTTTCGGACTGTACAATATTTACTGAAATTGTTGTTCAAGTTCTAGTATTCCCCCATCATAATTCACCTCCTAGATTGAAACAAAAGCTCGCCTACAACGTCTACCACTTAATGACCGGTTTGTTGTTCATAATGATTAGCCCTGTCACTTAAATTAATATTTTTTTTATTCTAAACGATGAGAAGATTGTGGCGGATTGCTACCTTAGTAAAGCCTGACTGACTCAGAAATCTCTATGGCAGATTCTCCAACATCTAGCTAGACTCCCAGAACCAGCTAAGCTATAGCCCAGCTATGAAGGAAACAGACGTTTAGCCCGGGGCACGTTTATTCAGTAGACAAACCACGCAATAAGTGTATACAGGAAGGAAACTCAGTCATACAACATGGCGGATTTGGTAAAACAAGTGAGGGTCATTGAGCTGCTATTGGCTGCGTGCTCTTGTCCTCAATCAGTACGCGAAATTGTACGGCCGCACCTCAAGCCTATGTGTACGCGCATGCGATGACGTGTCCCACAAGATAACGTAATCTCACATCATATTCAGCAGCTTACAATCTTAAAAGAGTAGAGGTGACGTATACAGAGTAAATTAAAATCCCATATAGCTAGAACTAAATTAATTAACTTTCATTTGATTTATTGATAGCAAATGAAATTTTTTAGTCCTAAAAGCATAATAATCTTATTTCTAACAACATACCTTTTAATCTAATCTAGATTTGCTAGATCTAATGAACAGATGACGAAAATTTAGCCTTTTAAAACTGAGTACGATTTTATAAAACTCTGTCCGATTAGCCTCAATTAATCATTAAAGCGTGAATAAGCACATAAATAGTCGATAAAAACATTTTTCTTTAAAACTGACTTTATGTTAACTTTAGGTTCAAAAGGTTATACTATTATTAATATTTTTGTTGGATAAGAAAAATTGCATGTCTTAATTTTAAGGAATTTCTAATACCAATACGTTGTAACACTTATAAATGGATACTGCATCTTGTTCAACATATTCCAAAGTATTACCTACCAGACAAGCTAATTTCACCGTAAATCATACCCTCGATTGGTTCTTACCTTTCTGATCAATAACAAAAAAAACGCCTTTTATTGAAAAAGCAATTTATCTGGGATGTTTCTCAGACTTTTTTTTGCACTCTTTTAATTTTGGCCTCATTTTCCTACCACTCCCATACGCACATAGCGTAGCTGCAGAATATCGATTATCGGCTTTTCACGTCTAAGTCCAGATAACTAAGCCATTTTCCCCGAATGATCTCAAAAAGTTCCGTCTTGAATTTGCGATTCTTCCAATGTTCTTCGGTTCTTACTTGATCCCACTTTTCGCTGCCATTTCTCCCTTTTTCCCTCTTTCACTCTAATTGTTGCCGAGTTATTTATTCTTGATCTGTGATCTATAGTCGCTTGTTGTTTACTAAGCTATTTCTACTGAACTCTGTTAAATTATCTTTACTTTTCGCTTAATTTTATTAGTAATTTCAGTGGTTAAGTATGCTTTAAAATGGTTTTAATTCTAATATTCAAAATAACTAAATGAGTTAACAATACTTATCCATTATCATTTGGAACGCTATGATTGTTCTCGCTTAGAGGATAATTTACCTTTTGAATAAATATAAATGTAAAAAGGAATTCTTAATTAATCTCTGCGTGAAAATAGCTGAAAATTATTTTCACCAAAGCTTGGAATTTATATAATTTCATATTATTGCTCAACTCTGTTATTTTAAACGAATTAAATCGAAAGTCAGAAGTAATATTGTAACTATGTTTTAATTAATTGCTCTCTTAAATTTACTGGAATGGAGTAGTAATTGGTCTTGAAAAATATGAACTTTGGAATTTTTATTAGCACCAATTTATATTGTCCCTAAAATATTTTTACCTTTATTTTGCGAAATCGCTAAAATTAAAACTAACGGCCTTTAACCTTGTGATTTTTATTCGATGATAGCATGCAAAGGTTCTCAGAGTAAAAATTGAGGTTACCTCAGAATTAATCACTTCAATGACAGTCTTGAGATTGCACCGGCGTCAAAAAACTTCAACCACCACAGCGAGGCCGCAATACTTGAATCGTAGAGATTGATCTGGGCATAGTTAATAGTTTCGGAAGCATATTTGGAGCCATGCCTTAAGAAGTATGCTAAAAGCATAACTTGTTTTAATCATTTCTTAAATGCCTACCGGAAATGGGGTTTCAGTAAAAATATGTAATGATATTCCGTCTGCTACTTCGGCACCGTATTTATTAGAAGCATTCATTCATTTATTAAATCAATAAACGGCATTTTATTTATAATTATACTAACCGCCTCATTGCTAAAGTGGGGAGAGTGATCCCCAGACTATTCCAATAACACAATAATCCAAGACTATCAGAAATTATTCGAACATTATCACTTCCGTTTCTCCAAACGGAACTTTTTGGCATATTAGCTCTTAATTACAGTTAATGGAATCCGCTATTAACAGAAGGTGAAAAAGTCACAATAATTATTCACGTCATCACTATTTTTAGTTAATCGATTTAATTGCTCTATAAGAGTTCTTACAAATCTCACAATTCTCAATTTTACCTGAAAACTAAAGAATTGATGGTTAAAAATTCAATTATATTAAGGCTTTTGTATTCTTTCGCCTGTCGTCGCAGTACTGATGTCTTTTTCTTCTTATTATTTTGCAAGTACTGATGTGAAAATGTAATTAAGAATAATTTCGAAATATTCATTCATTGGCGGAATTAATAAGCTGCCAAGTGCTAGAAATGAATATTAATTATTAATTACTTATTTTATCAGTAAATTTAATACTAGAGTCGGTAGTGGGTTTTTTCGATGCTTTTCATTCTATTAGGTCCACTACTAACACTTTTCTTCCAAAACTATTGTTTTTCGTTTTATCGCGTGAATAAATTAAAAAAAGCAATAATAATTCATTTAATCAAGTTTAATTTAACTACTTTCCGTGGTGGTGAATCTGTAACTACTTCACGTCTGATTTTCCAACCGCAAACTACCATTATTTCCTCTGGTTTAAATAGAACAAAGGTCGTTGCATGTCGCACTTCATTTCGATAATTAAATTAAAATATTTGTACATACACAAGCACAAACAAATGGCTGTGGAAAATGTATTTTGATGTCGGTCAAGATTTGAAGGCGAAGAGCAGTTTTAAAGTTCAAAAAGAAGAAATTGATCCCTTACATTTCTGGTTGTCAAAAGCAGTCAAAAATTGTGTTTACAAGGTGAAATATAAGTCTGTACTTCTGTTGTCATTAACTCTAAGTAAAATTGTGACGTAAGTGAACTTTGGAATTGAAGATCTCCAGTGCAGATGGACTTTCAAAGTGATATAATTCCCTTTTCTAACTAGAAATCATTAATAAGAGTTGAGTGGAATGCAGATGGCTGTAAAATTTCATATAACCTTGCCATTTGCATTTTCAAATTCATTAAAGCATATTTAAGTGATGAAATTAAAGCGAAAAAGTTTAAATTCTAGATCCGAAATTCCTCATATCCTAAACATTCATATTTTTCCTTCCCATTTCCCAACTGTCCAATGAGTCCAGACCGAAGAAGTCATTATTTGGCCTTGGATAATGCAATGCTTCACAGCACAGTGAAATGCTACCCTCTTCCACCACTTTATAACCCCACCATCAGTTTCTTTGTTTATGTTGCCAGGGTCTTAATAATAAAAAGACGCCTCGTTTCCCAGTTTGATTCATTGTCGTTTCTTTGTAGGTTAGTGCTCACACAATACAATTAACTTGACTCGTCAGTTTGCATTAGACAGGGTAAATGAAAAACACCTCAACCTTTACCAAATTGAGCGGGTCAGTAAAGCTGGAGGGTTCAACTCCTCTGAAATAGATCAAGAGCGCTACACTACCTCAAGCGCAGTCAATCTCTTTGCTTATTGCGGGATTGTAGATTACAATTGAAGCTTTAATGTAGAAGGAAATAGACCTGTGTGCAAACGGCAAATCCAAAAAAAATATAACTAAACGGATAACTAATTGAATTCAAATGACACTTATCAGAAAATTAACCATTCAAACTGCTCTCATATCTGCTGGATTAACAACTGCGAATATTAGCTTGCTACTTTATCATAAAATTTCGAAGTTTGTTAAACAAAAGATACTATTTGGGCCTCTTACAGCGCTTTCCAATACTTCAAGGAGTTGGGATCTTCGTCAATGTGAAACCACTCTCTCAACTCTTTTATCACATACAAAGTAGGCAGATAAAGCGCGGTATAATAATATTTACATAGACTGAGAACACCTTATATCACAAACGAGTGTTAACTGCCAAGTCGGTTCTCTACACTGAGGCAAAGAAAACATTTTTGGGGACAGCAGCTGCGGTCCACATACGCCCAACGCGACTACCATTGACGCAGAGGAATTGAGGTGAAGGAACCCTCACAATTCGGAACTTGATATCCACTATGCTTGAATCTCCATCCACTTCCAGTGATATATCATCGTCATCTGGAGATTCTGATCCTTCTGCCCGAACACAGGCATCAAAGGTCCTAAGAAGTTTGATCAAATCAGAAGGAATTGAGCATTCCTCAATAATAGGGTTGGGAATGGTAATCACATCTTTTGTAGAGGGGCCCGAACCCTAAAAATGAAAGATGTATTATATATTATAATGTCTTTTTTTTAAGAAAATATCTATTGACAAAGACAATCTAATCGTTGATTAAATTACACAGCAATCGGCGTCTTAAAAACAAATTTGTTTGTTAGGATATAACTCGTCAGGTTTCATTTCTCTCTATCTACAAAAAATATAGCATACCCATTTTCACAACTTCTTTACATTCCAAAATTTTGGTACATTTTGTAGTTCAGAAAAAAACCAAGTATACTTAAGCTCTTAAAGGAGAATTGAAATAAAGAATATGCCAAACACTTACCAGCATTTACGCAATTGTGACCCTAAAATAAGAGTTAATAGGACGGGTGGAGATATGCATATTGGTTCTTCTCAAGTGCTTCTTTGTAATGCGAATTGAACAGGAAGTTATAAGAACAATAAAAGCTTACATGCCATTTATCAACTTCACTTATTTATTTTGGAAAGCATGAAATATAGGGCAAATATAACAGCCGTTTCCACTGAGAAATGAGACGTTGAAGGGGCTTAAGAGAGCGTCTCAAGCATCTCTAGTCAAACCTCAATCATTTTCGATAAAAATTAGCAATCTGGATCAATTTACTGTGTGGCCGAGAACTTCGTTAAAATACATGCCTACTATATTATTTTCTAATTAATGATATCATTTTGAACCACACACAAATGCAATTCCTAGGACCTTCGTAGGAGATGGAAATAAAAGTTGACAGAGGCTATGAACACCTATTGCCAATTACAAATACATACCACCTCGGGAGCAGCCAAATGAGTGCAAAAGTGGTAAATTTTGCGTATTTGTTTAACGACTTAAAAATACATAAGTTATCAGGAAATAAGAGAAGTAAAAAGGGGGGTTGGTATTCAATTAAAGTAAAGGCAGTTAAAAAACATTGTACATTTCACCATTGTATTAAGGATACATTCACTTATTTACTCATAATTCCGCTGCCGATTCATTGACAAATGAGAGCTGAACAAAGCATAGTAGCAAAGGACAACAATTCTGTGCAGAAGTCGAGATAAAACTTGACAAAAAAAATAAATGAGACGAATCAAATTTCGACTATGTCCGCGTTAACTTCAAATTGGCACTCAGGTCATAGAATATTCATCTATTGGTAAAGTTCTCACAACCGAGTGCCTTTAAACCTTATGAGAGACATTTATTCAAACTTATTGTTAACGTCCTCATTCAATGTCATTATGCATTAATTTCTTTCCAATTTCCAAATTTTGTGCTCAACGGCAGCAGTTCCTGTCAGCTTTTACCATCCCACATAAGATTCCTAACTAATGCCCAACTGATGCGTACATCCGAGTACACTGGTTAATTAGGACTAATGAGAGAAGTGTCAGAACGTGGGTTTATCATCAGAACAGTGCCAGTATTCCACTCAACTCAACTCCTTACTTGGTGATTGACAGCAGAAAATTGAATGAGCTCGAGACACACCTTCAAGTTGAAATGTTTCCATGTCAATTCTTCCACTTGTGCATTCTCAGCGTTAATCCAATCAATTCAAATTGAACAACTGAAATCTCATGAAAGTTTGGCCATAAAAGTATATTGCATAAAAAAGTGAGAAGTTTATTTAATTTTTTCATTCAATTCAATTTCTATGAAGAAATTTAAACAAAAAAGATTGGATTTAAATTCTTCAAATGTCAATGATAAACACAGAGGAACACATTGTATTAAATAAATAATCGTCTCCATTCGACAGCTGTTCTAATACAGCATATGGTTGCTCCATAAACTCATTCAAAGCACTGAATTTTAATTGGGAATTTCGCATCTGCTCATCAAGACGCAATAAATAAATAAAAAACTAAACATCTGCGTTAATTAATGCGAGAGACCAGAAGGGGTCACAGTGAATTAGCCATTTACAAAGCGTCAATCAAATGCAAACATTGTCAAGCAATTAAGACTCGAGGTGCTTTATGATAAAAGGAAATCTCTACGATAAAACTACGAATAACGGTGAAAGGTAATGTTGCTATGCTATCGAAGCCAACAAAACTGTGCGGCTAACTAAATTACGAATTTTTCGGATGTCATGCTGCATGATATTAACTTTAAAAAGGGGTCATAACTAAACTTGTTCTTCAACCCCCTCTTAACTTGCCTTCATCATGCCACAATCTTGGGGG